GTGGAATTCAAATAAATATCCAGTTGCACTCGCTCATGGGTTGAAAATTAACTGCATGATGTTACAAGGCGAAGACGAAACAGCAAATCAAGAATATAATCCAGGAAAGACCACACCCATGTAGACATGGGCTGTTTCGGTATAACCAAACTGAGCATTAATTCTCTCTCATTTATTGTATAACCTGCAGAAATGGACAAAAAAATATATTAATTACACTTATAATTAAGAAACACAAACAAAAATGCACCAAAAAGCAGGTAAAATAGCTAAATTAAAAAATAAACAAACAACAACTTTACGCCATTTTACATCACAACCATAGATCACGACATAGGTTAACGTCAAATAACCCGACGTCAATTTACGACATAGACAACAGAAAAAGGTTAAAAAGAAAATTCATAGACAGATAGACTTCATAGATAGATGAACTCCAAAGATACATCAATGATAAATGTCAATTAATTCTATGGAAAATAAAAACTGTCAAGTGATATTGATGCACAATAACCTCAATTTATACTGTTGACAATAGCTAATTGTTAACAGAAATTTCATAACAGATTAATAAAGAGTAATTAATATTGATCAAGTCATGTATTCTCACCTCAATTAATTGTAGAAAGTGGCGTTCTAAAGTCTACCAGTATGATGAGCAAACCAACCAAATCTAGGAGTGTACCACTGCAAATAATTTGTTGTTCCGGTTACATCTAAATAAATTAATTCCAATTGCCTCCCATTGTTACCGCAAAAATTAACTGCATAATGTTGCAAGGTGAAGACGTCAAGAGCATCGGTTGTTTTAGTAGCACCAAAATTAACTGCCATTCCTTCTCATTTGTGGGACAACAATCTATATAGAAACAGGCAAGAAAAGTAATTAATTACCATTTTTAAATCGAATAAATCAGTAACATGCATACTAATGGAAAGATCTGTTCCACATTAATTCTGCTTCTGCCATTTCTTAAACGTTGTTTAAAAGTTGTTTATTGAAGCAAATTACAAATGTCTAAGAAATGTAAGTTATCTAAAGATATCATTTACTATTTTTAACTGATACTGTTACATACCAGTTCATTGTCATAAATCCTTTTTTCAGCACAGTCTTCATTCCAATGAAAAAAAGGCACTTTCATGCTATTTTTAGAACCATGGGCACAGCTACTTTCAAGGGCAAATGAGGACTAATACAACCAATGCTCCAAAATTTCATAATTTAATGGTATCCGGAGTTCTTCTAATGTTCCTGTAAAATGATATCTTATGAAAAAATGTTAAGATATGATTAATCAAGTATTAAGTAAATAATGTGCAGGATACATTGTTAAAGTAATGCTGCACCTTTTTCTTTGTTAATATCAAATAAATACACTACATATAGAAAGTATAGTATGCATGCTCACCTTAATTAACTACAAAAGCCTCCAAGATGAAAGGATAACAGCTACAACACCATAGGAGACGACTTATCTTTTCAGTAAGCAAAGATATCAGTTCCAATCTCTCTCAATTGTTGACCAATCTGTGTAAACGGATAAAAACAATTATTAACTAATTAATTTAATAGATATCTGTTACGCAGAAAATTTAAATATTTAATCCTTTTCACTTTTCTCCCTTTCTCTCAAATGAAAGTCAAAATATATGCGGAAAATGGTTAAAAAAAAAAACAATTAAACACTCCTATTAAATAAATGAAACAAGAAATAAAACAAAAACATGTAATAAAAAACCAATTAAAAGCCAATAAAATAACAAAACATTAAAAATGGCGACGTAGCCTTCTGATGTCTGAAGATATAACCCTTAACAATTTTGTCAAATTAATTTATGCTGTGGGCAAATACGAATAATAGTAATAGAATATGAATCAATCGAACTAACCTTTCAGATGTCGAACAAATTAAAACTAATAATTTTGCGAAAAAATTAGCTCGATAAGTTGAATTTAAGAGACGTGAAAACATGTCCTACCACCGAGAAGCTTTATGAACTTATAATGAACAAAACGCCTCTCAGGCTTGTCGCAAAATTGCGATTGCTACCACATGAAGCACTGATGACGTAGACAAACGCCAATCAGATGCGTTAAATTCGATGTCTGCGACGCTGTAACCAATCGCGTGCTTAGTTTCATCCCCGTTTTACAGAATTCAATTTATCTGCGTTTTTGCTTCGTGCAAGTTCCATCGCCTGATCACTACTCGCAAAGATATATATGCATTTTTGGGTATAATAAAATTCGACCAAACGGACAAGTTGAATTTATAAACACTAAACGAATGAAATTAAGAAACTAGCTAATTGCAGTATAACATTTTAGAACTACCTTATTGTTCTTTTTAAAAAAAATTGCACGCAATTAAAGTTTTTCTAGTAATTATATATAGTAATATTAACAAACAGTTTCTGTGCTTTAATTCTCCTATGCCCGAATTATTAATAACCTTGATGTATGTTAATTATTCAGAATTTTAAGCTTTTATAAAGTTATTAGGTAACTAACTAACTACAATTTGTAGTTATTTTGTACCAAAAAATGACATAATGTGTACTTTGTATACGTACACATAATGCAGTCAATTAATTGCATTCTGTTGTTTAAAGAAAACCAAAAGATGACATAGATGATATGGACTATTGCTCATATCACAAAAGAAAAAAAAAAAACACTTAGACTGTAGTATTCATCTTATACAGGAACGTAAAAAGTATTAGTTATAAAACCGTTTAATTTATGCTGTGGGCAATTGCAAAAACTAATAATATAATATGAATCAATCAATCTAACCGTTCAGGCGTAGAAAACAATAAAACTAATTATACGAAAAATTAACCCGGCAAGTTGGATTTAAGAGACGGGAAAAAGCATCCTTACACTACGAAACTATGAGATTATAATGTGGTACAATAAAATTCGACCAAATGGACAAGAAGTTGAATTTAAGAAGTATCTTTTTGTTATTCCCGAATTATTAATGGCCTTCATGTAGGATATACGATAAACAACGTTAAACCACAGGATAAATAAATTAATTTACACTCGAATTTATCTGATCTGTGGATTTTAGTTATTAAAAAGTTGGAGCATTTCTAAATGAATAGGTAACCAGCTAAAATTTGCAATTAGTTTGTACTTTTATGTACTATGTTATCTTTTGGTTTTCTTTAAATACCTAAATACCTACAGGAACGTAAGAAGTTTTAGTTATAAACGCGTTGTGAAAAAATTGATAAGCACCTTCCATTGGCATAAGAGTGGGAAATTATCATTTTCATTTGTATATTATTTTCTTTAAAGAATTATATAACTAAAACTTCGTTTATTTTTATTGGCACGTAATTTAAAAACACGGATTTTTTGAAAATACAATACTTTTTGAAGACTTCCGATGCCTACAAAAGAAGTAGCTGTTAAAAAAAACTTAATCTTTGGACAGAAAATTAAAAATTAAATTCATTGCTTTATTCATATCGTTGTTACTATATGCTTACTAAAAAAATAAAGTACATTACTTTTATTCTTTATCAATCGCTATTTTTGATTAACAAGCATCTATCTTCTTGACTATTATTGCTTTATTACATTTTTATACTTTCATCACAATATNAAAATACAAATTGTTTCAAATATTGCAGGCGTCCGCTGGCCCTTGACATAGGCAACCCACTTCACTGCAGTGTATTTTGAGCGTCAGACTACAGGAGCAGTTCTGACTTATAAAACACTCGTCTTTTAAAAAATTAATAATAAAGAAATAAAAACGTTTTTAAATTGAGAATTGGAAGTGCAAAAGGATGTTATAAATTGAAGATGACAATTATCCACAACTGCAGCAAAAAAATATACAACCTAACGATATTACACAAAGTAGTAACATACGTTCGTCAACCTATGCATTATATTCCAGGACGTTTTTTGTCAACCAAATTAACAATACATTAACAAGATATTAATCTAAATATGTATTATTACTTGAATTTGCTGCAGAATGTACCGTTCTATAAAAATAAAATAAATTCTTTATTGTTTATTTTCTACTGACTTTGAATGTAGCAGGTTGCACATGTTTATGAAGTTATATTGTATTAAAAGTTGATGTATTGTTTATGACGAGTCCCTTATAATCATTTCTAAAATATTCAATACTGGATATACCAATGTTTTAGCTAGACTATTCAAGAAACCATACACGTAATCAAATAAAAACGCGCCTAAAAGCAAGTAAAACTACAAAATTATACAACGGCGACATAGCGTCATTGTCAACATAGGGTCAGAATAGCGTAAATAAAATAAATAATGTTATAGATACAGAAGTACCATTGCGCAAAAAATTAAAATATTTAATAAAATTAGTTTTTCCTTTCCTCTAATCTCCTGTTTGTAATACTAATGTAAAAATTTACACGATTGTACTATGGTTTATAAAACAAAATTTAAAATAAATGCTTTATCGCTTGTAATAAAATTGTAATGATAAAAACAGGTAAAAATTCTAAATATGAAAGAGCGCTCCTTAATTTTAGACTTGTTAAATACCTTTTCTGAACTTTTTAACAGCCAAATTTTATGTAAAAGTGTATGTAGAATTTAGCGATGCAATCAATTTTGTAGTGAGAGTTGAAATAAAGATACAAATGATTAATTTGCAGAAAACACATACATGTGAATTAAAACAAAGGCAAATTTTTAATTAATAAAGGATGTAAATTTTCTAACCATAAAAGAGAGAAAATGAATTAACCTATATTTCTAAGACTTTTAAATAATTAAATCTTACCTTGATTAGTTAAAAATTTTCCGAGTTGCTGAAGAAAAAACAAATAGTATACAGGAAGAACACAGGATCATAATAAATTTAATATGTTGATATTCTTCCCTCTTTGGTTAAACTGTAAAGACGGAAACGAAAATGAATTGTTATTAAAACTTTAAATCAAGAATCTTAACAATCATATACAATTTTTTTTTTAAATAAGTTGATTGAACTGACAAAATTAAAATCAGTCTCTGCATATGAAACATTACATACATGTTGTTTATAGATGGTGAGTCAATTACGTTTTGTATGTAAAAATTAATTTTTGATCTAAAAAAAGTTAAAAAAAGGAATGTTTGGATAACAAAAATTGAAAATAACAATTTAAATTAATTAATCAATACATTAAAACTGTTCTACTTTGGACAATTATTAAGAAAATGTAGAATACAAATATGAATTATGAAACAATTATTTAATGTACCTTTCATTAAAAAGGTTTTTCTTATACTTTTATGCTTTTACAATGTAATAAATATTTGATTTGTCTATATAAAAGAACATGTTTTTCCTAATCTTATAACAAAAAAATAAAGATACAATCAATTTTTAATTGATAGGTAATGTAAATGTAACCATAACAGGGAGAAAGTAAATTTCCATTCTCTTAAGCTTTTATTCTGAAAATTTTAAACAATGAAATCTTACCTTGATGCAAAATCTTCTGGGTTGGAAAAGAGAACAACAAATGGTGTACGAAAAGAAGAGAGGATCATAAGAAACTTGACGTGCTGGTGTTCTTTCCCCATAGACCGAACTGTAAAACAAATAAAATTAAACAAATTATACAGTAATAATTGAATAGACGAAACATTCACATTGTATTTTATTAAAATGACAAATTAAAAATCAGAAATTATTTCTAATTCTTCAAGCTTAACCTTTAAATGTCTAATTTAATAATCAATGCGTTGATGGATGGACACTACCGAATTTTAAGTAATTGTTTTATACACCATCTATTTACAATTCGAAAAGAGACGGGTTACCGTTAATTAAGAACAAATTTACTTGATAATGTAATGAATTAACCGAATTGACAATGAAATGGTTTAAAGATCAAGGTTATGTTTAGCGTATTTTCGGTTAAGACTATAACCGGACGAGCGTAATCCAGTCGCGCGATTTGAGTAGTGTATTCGAGTTCCAATACGTTTTCATACATAAAATGCTTTTCTAGAGTTATACGAGAAGACTAATGAAGAGTGAAATCAATTAATGCGTCTAATTGTGTAAATCGCAAACAGACATAAATTTTGTACGACACAATTCAAACATGATAATATATACTGTGCCATGAACACGTTCTTAGCGAGACGGACAGGCAAGAGTTCAGCCGAATGAAACATTGACAAAACCGAAAACTGTGATCGCTCAATTTACGCGACTGAATAACGTTCGTCTGGCTGCACCCTATAATGAACTTTGAATTACATGTACATATTCAGCCACATTAATTAATTTCCGACTATTTCTGTCTTCTTTTTTTTCAAAAAATTGTCTTCATAATGTTAATACGAATTTCCTGTGGAATTTATTGCTCAACGTTTGTATTATAACATAATTTCAACTAACATTTAACTTTTGTTAAATCCATGTTTAATCGGTGTATATACATAATCAGTGTTTCTGTTTTAACCCTTCTGTGTGCAGTACTTAATTTTTGAACAGTAAAACTATAACAATAAAATTTTAGCTTCTTTTGTATTGCAAGATGCCCGCTAAACAGAATATTTATTTTTTGTCACTATGCAAATGTCGTCAAAAGTAGACTTTAGACTTTAATCATCACAATGTCGTAAATCTGAAGATGTCTGTAACCTAGCCCTTCATGTGTCTATGTTCTACCACATTATTTATGCCTACTTGCCTACCATTTATCTCCTTTTTCACAGTGCCCCTCTACATTTTCCAATACCTTCCATTCCTATCTATTAAAACAATTTCAGCACAAAATTTTTGTTCATTTCAAAGCCAAAATAAAATGTTGAGGGCTATTATTTTAGGTGCTCCAGCTTCTGGGAAAGGTACAATATCTTCCAGAATAATAAAGCACTTTAATTTGGAGCATATAGCAAGTGGTGATAGACTGAGGCTGCATATTAAGAACAATACTTGTAGGTACTCAGATTTTTAATTAAACTTATTATTACATATATATGAATAATTAAATTTCGTTTGTTAAAGCATTGGGTGTTGAAGCCAAGAAATATATAAATGAAGGAAAATTAGTACCAGATGAACTTATTACAAAATTTATATTGAACGAGATAAAGCAATGCAATAGCAAAAGTTGGCTGCTAGATGGTATAAACAATAATCAAAAGAGAAATGTATTCTACTTCTATTTTTATAGGTTTCCCTCGCACATTATTTCAAGCACAGACTCTTTGGAAAGCTCAAAAAATCGATGTTGTCTTAAATTTAAATGTACCGTTTGATGTCATAATTGAAAGAGTAAAAGGACGACTTGTTCATCTTCCTAGTGGAAGAACTTACAATACTGGTTTTAATGAACCAAAAATTCCTGTAAAACCACTACTTTTTTAATAATTAAAGAATTGCCTAATTTTTTCCCTTTGCAGGGAAGAGATGATATAACGGGAGAACCATTAGTACAAAGAGAAGATGATAAACCAGAAGTGGTGAAAAAAAGACTGGAACAATATGAACTGCTTACAAAACCAGTAATTAAGTTTTATGAAGCACTAGGCGTGTTACAGACATTTACTGGTAAAACTTCTGATGAAATATGGCCAAACATTAAAGATTATTTAAGTAAAAAAAAATTATCTAAAGAACAAGACGCATTAGGGTGATTAATTACACAACATTTGGTATTACTTTATAATACTGTTACTGTCTATAATGCACACTGTCAAAGCAACAAAATAAGACTATACCTTTTAATTGTTGTAAACATTATTTCTATTTCTATTAGTTAATAAAGTTTATAGACTTACTAAAACGGGAATTTTTCATTATAAGATAAGAAACTTTTATATAACTAATTTTTGAGTAGAAAAAAAATACAGAAAATGCAAAAGGACAGAAGAATTTGTTTCCTCTCATTATCGAATTTTACTGGTTTGCTGTTCATTAAAAATTCAAAATGTCAAGACAAAGAACTTTACTGTTTTGGTATTATTTACAATAATGATAATGAGTGATGCATAAGAAATGGCAACACATTTTATGATACGTTTCTTTTTCTTTTCCATTCCTAATTTTAGTAGGAAAAAAACAATAAATCGAATTGTACTTAATAAAGGCTTTTGACATCTGCAGTATTTAACTGTGACAAAATATATTGTGTAATGCTTTTACATTTTGGGACGTTAAATTTATAATTACTAAATCAGCATTTTGTGTACAAAAAAACTATATCTTCATGATTATCTAAAACCTTATTTTTAAAACATTAATATTTATAAATTAGCATTCGAGTCCCTTACTCAACACACAATAATTTATGAGATCTTTTACCTAGGTATACTTTTCCTTATTAAAAAAAACTTTTTTTAAATAATTTATCCCAGATAACAGTAATAGAATAAAGGAACACATGAGAGAACAGACATTTGTCTTCATAATAATATGAAACATTCTGTTATTATTTAATAAAAACTATTTTACTTTTTACAATTTCCAATATCTTACCTTTTCCATATAATGCCTGGTTCAAGGATGAAAGCACCTTTTCTGCGAATGACAGCAACTTTCAGTTATTCTGTTAACTTTGAAAGTATTGAAGATTTTAAACTATTTCAAATTCTTCAGTTTCTGTACATTCCCCAAGAACATCGCAAGTTTTAAATTCATAATCCACATGATGTCCTTTAATGGTTGATTCAATATGAGTGTCCTTACTACTACCATTAGAAAAAACAAACATTGGATATTCATTGAACACTTTTGTTTTAGTAGGTGATATCATCTGAAATAGCATTACATTAATTACTAAAACATATCAACAAATAAAATAAGGACATATAAATATAAATATTACCAGTTTTAATGTTTCAACAAGATTACTAAATTCTTCTCTAGTAGAGCAATAAAATCCCAAACAACAAGATGGATCCATCTTACTTATGTGCAACTTTCTGGGTGATCGACAATGAAAACTAGAAATTGGAAAATCTGTTGCCCAAACATCTACCATCTCTTGACAATAATGTGGATCTAAATGTATAAGTTTGTCATCTAAAGATTTAAGGGGTGAACAATTAACTGACTTAGGATCATGATTACTCAGTAATTTCTATGTTACCTTGATATCCAATAAAATATAATGCATGTTTTGGTCGTCCTCCAATTATACCAATACACTGTTCTAAAGTTAACAAACTAGTCAACTGAGATGAGAAGAAAGTATTAAATTTATCTGCACCAAGACGTACAGGGATAAGTAGTATTAATGATTTCCATTTATTGTCAAATGTTTGACATTCTTCTTCAATGTCTTTTATGTATACTGTAATTATATAAGGTTACAGGGAGCCAATTATTTTTATTACCTACATACCTGCACAATCTTGGGCAACATAAATATTTAATTTATCAAATTCACAATTGTCTTTTGATGCTAATTTCATTGCTTCTCTACAAATTATATTTTTTTAAAGGCATAATAATAATAACTATAATGAAGGTATTATTTCTCCAAACTACTACTTAATATTTTAATTACCTTAAAAGGAATGCAACACATCCTGGACCGTACCAGTCACCAGGCTTTTTACCAGAATTTTCCCCTAACTGTACCAAAGTGTGTAAAGAAAATGGACTATTTTTTGAAGGTTTGTCACCAAACCACTTTATAATTTTTCTGTGATTAATATTTTCCATAATACCTTGTCTGGTATTTGGAATTTGGTCAGGAATCCACCTCCATCCTACATCATATTCATGTATACAAGTTTTAATTTNCCATTTATACCTCTACTTTAAATGGTGAGCCAGGAATATGATCGTCTCCCCATTTTACAATCACAAGATAGTCTCCCCTTTCTCTCACCACATAATTTACTGTGTACTGATTATGACCAGAATGTTTTACAAATACCTCCTCACACGGTCCCTTCGGCCCAATTATTCCCACAAACAAGATGTTATTACCTTAATAAATTTTTAAATAGTTATTCAAATCTGCTATTTCTTTTAATTCATTGATTATACACATTTATTTTCATTGGCTTACCTGCAGTTCCAGCAGAAACGGTAAATTGATTTTGTTTTCCAATGTAAGCCTTCTTAAGGCCCATTCCCTTGGATGATACTTTAGAAGCATCACTTTTGAAATGAGGAAGAACAGGACTCTTATGACCTCCAGTGTCTTTGCTTACTTTGGCTACCGTTTCGACAATTACCGATGACGTTTCTTGGGCTCCAGTATCAGCCAGTTGTCTATCTCCTAAAATAAATTATTAGTAAGATAATTCAATCTATTGACCAAACTGCAGCGACTATTATTATATATATATTACCTCTTCCTAAAAAATGGCAAATTAAAGCTTGGGCTAGAAGCATTTGTCCACTTCTTAACATGCAACCCCATCCACAATCACTACTGTAAGTAGAACCATTTAACACTGGAAACTCTCTGCGATAAGTCAACCATAATCTACTGGTAAAATCACTTTTAAAGCCTTCAAAGTCATCTTCTTCATTATTTGATATCTACAAACATTAAAAATACACCAACTGCATTAATTTAATTTTGCTTAATTACATTGCTATTGCTGTTATAAGCAGCAATGTCCATTCCTTCTTCAGTTGAATCATGCGGTTCAACTTTTTTATAACATTTTCCTAATAACCACACTGGAGATTCTTTAGAGAAATTTGTCTTTAATTTCATCCCTATAAATATGATTCATTACTTGTTAAAAGTTATAGATGTATAATATTTTTACCATATTTCATGTTATTCCACATAGACAATAAACGAGTCTTTACTTTCCCTTCCACATCGTCCTCTAATCGAGAATTATTAGGTGAGCCTGAAGGAGTACTAGTTGTGCTGGAATTTATACGAAAAAGAAATCCAGTTGATTTTTCCCGAAGTGGAATTTGAGTATTCATCCTCTATTAATTAAAGCATAATTTCTACAGCTACAACTCACAAACGTATTACTGATATTTCTTCGTTTTAAGTCATCTCGTCATCATTAATTTTACATTTTGTGAACTATGTTTTGTGAATATTTTACTTCGTATTTTGTAAAAAACCGATAACGACTCCCCATAACTGTCACGAACATGTCATGGGCATAGAGGTCATGAGTACCCAAACCATAGATAACGCCATAGATTAAAGGATAACACCATAGATAATAGGATAACACCAATTGACCACTGACAAATAGATACATTAATACCATATATAGGTACTTACCCTAATTATACCCTAATAAACGATTAATAATTGTAAAGTATTATTGGTCTCTAATCCGTTTTAAAAATTTTTAAACACTTAAAAATATTTCTTGATCTAAGACAATATATACATATTTACTTCAATATTATCTAAATTTTGAATATTTTATTTATATCATTTTGGAAGATGGGTTCTCCTGTTTTCAGAGTGCTTCAATAAAAATCATCTATTTACAGATTTATTTTTAACTTAATTTTATTTTGTTGTTTATAATACGTCTCTGTAAAAAGCATCTTTTGCTTGAAAAATTTTGATGTTTTAAAAACGTAAAATACACTTTTTACTGGTGGTTAAAATTACCACAGAGCGGAAGAATAGGGGGTAGAGTGGAGGACACTAGGATTATAGCACGTTAAATACAGTTCAAGGTTATTCTAAACGGTTATAAATACTTTTTTTAATTTTAAACTTTAGAATCCAGCGATCTGAAAAACAAATTAAAAAGGAACGAAATGTAATGTCAAGAAAAGGAAGAAGGTTTGTTTCCCAAGTCAACATAAATCAAAATACATTTTGGTACTTTCAGCTCGTTTAATAAGGCATAAATTAATTTATCCTGAAATAAATGGGGCGCTTATAAATTGGGGATTGAAAGTACGTCTTGGTAATTTCTAACAATAAAATTTTTTCATTTAATTACATTTTGGTACTTTCAGCTTATTTAAAATTAAGTTAAAAATAATTTTCTTAATAAATGAAGTTTTTTATCGAGATGCTCTAAAAAGTAGAAAATAAAGAAATAATCTTCCAAAGAGATGATATAAAGGAGAAAAGTTTTAGATAATTCTGGAGCGGTAGATATTTCCCTCCATCAACAAAGGGCCTAATCTGGCAATAAATGAGCTATTATTATTTGAATAGCATTTTATTACATTTATGACATAAATTAACATAGCAGAGACGATACTTGTAACTATTAAACCTAAAATTATCAAAATAAATATTAACACT